AAAATATTAATTTTTAGAGAAATTAATTTTTTTAATAAAACGTCGATCCATTGAACAAATCAGATGCGTAATTTACTGCGAATAATAGTCCAATCTCATTGTTCTTTTCCCATTGCACTCTACGATTTAATCAGGTGATTATCTGGTTCAACGATCGAATTAATATTCGAACTGAGCGACGAGAATTCTCTACAGACGAGTAATATTCATCCTAACCACTCGTCTGGACCGTCTCGACCGATCGATTGGCTTGTCCAATACTTAATAATTTGAAGTGAATATTTTACTCATAAAAAAATAATAATCTAGAATACATATTGTTTAATAAAATGTTTCACTAATTGTAAAATAATTGTAAACTAAAAATCTAACTATCTGCTAGCCAAAATTGCAAAACGACGTATCAATTCAAAATGGATTAATGATCTTTACTATATAGTTCTTTTTATTTCCACTATTATCATTACCTAGTTTAATTATACGAGCAATTGAATCATCACTTTTTAAATTATTTGAGATTATATCTTTTGGGATTATATTGTTTTATAGTTTCAATTTGCAATTTATCATGATCAGTTTATGTATATCTATGTTTATCTATGTTTAACATGCTAATTGTTATTAGCTAACTATAATTAGAGCTCATAATGTTGATTACTATTGTATTTATCAATATTGTTTCCATAATCTCATTCCTTAATATTGCTAATATTGCTACTTAATATAACTACTTAATACTTATTGCATGTATAAGTGTAATACCGTATTATTATTTAGAATATACATTATTTAGAGAAATGAATAATTTTTATAACTTGCAAACATTATTAAAAGTAATATTAATTATTACGAAATTGTAACGTATAATTATTCATTAAAAGCATCTCGTTATATGTTTAATTAATTATAAAACGATCAGAGACAAGAATACCTGGCAAAGCGAATGCGAGCTATTATTTAATATTCGAATATCAAAAGCATAAATATTTTGAAAAAATTTTCCTTATTTTCAACCGACTACCTCTACAGCGCGATGTCACATAGTATTTTGGGAGATACTAAAAATGTTCGCGGTACAAGTGCGTTCAGCATGACAAACATAACTGCACGAAATATATTGCGGATGCTGCTACATCCTGTATGACATAAATTGAGTTTGCCTTTAGTTTTCTCATTTTGCTCGCCCACGTACGTCTCTTAGTAACATCTCAACGTAACGATAAGTAAAATATTGTTGAAGAAAATTTTTTAATGGAATACATCTTTTGTCTGTCGAGTCTTTTCGTTGTCGACGACTTATTCATCAATGATGAAAAACGGAGTTTTATTTGGACAGGACTTCGATAGCATCAGTGATTAGTCGGGATTAACAAAGTCATTCTTTTTCTAGATTTCATACGTGGTAACTTAACACGCCAATTAAGAGAAGTATATACTTACAAAGTCGACGTGTAAAGCGGTAAGTCTTTTGGTATCGCAATTAATCTCTTGTTGGAGCAATCGACCGTCGCGCCGTTGCATGTGCATTGCGCGGGGCAAGCGCCAGGCAGAATGCACTCGCCAGCTCTTTTTGTTAGCAGTTCCTCGTCACCTACGGACAAAGGATAGAGAGTTTCTGGATATAGTCAAATTCTAACAATCGCGCCTGAACAACACTTCCGCACACATCATGTTCCTGATCCATACAACGCGAATAATATATACACGTCGTGCGCAAGCAGTCGTGTGATATCCCGGCCACAAATAAATGTTGCATTTCTTCAAAATTGTGGTCGAACATAATTATATGGTAAACGTAATGATGATGATGTCGATTCATTAACGATAAATTTTGATAATGAACAGTGTAATTAATGGCGTTGTTAAACGAAATCACTTGTATGTATGATGCCATATGTACTTGCACGTTAATCGAGTGTTTAACGACGTGCGTTAGTGTTGAGGGTTAAATATGTTTATGTATGAGTGCGACTACGGCAGAAATGATTTATCATCGTATTATACACCACATTACAAATTGCCGGGTGTGATATACGCATACGTAATTATATCGACGATACACATTGCAACATGTATAATGCCGTTTAGCATCTCGCATAGCGACTGTATTTTCTTCACGGCAGTCTAAATACAATAGTGGTTTTTATTCGTCAATCAAAGAGAAAGAAGTTAAATGTCATCAAGAATTAATTTTTTTTCTCTTTTCCAATGTATATTCGATTATTTCTCCCTTTAACATCGTATGCTTTTATAAATAAATAAAACTACATATCAAAAGCTATTGTTGATAACGATGATTAAAAAAAAAATTAATTTTTGTATTGAAGAATAATGCAACGAATAAATGATAAAAAACAGATATCTCACAGAAGTACAGCTTTTATTGTACAATTTATATCAAAATAAAACTGAGAAAAATTTGCTTGAGGCAAATAATGACATGAGAAATATAAATAATAAAAATAAATTTGCGTTTCCGTAAGTAAAGTTAAAAATGATTATTTTCCGTTGTCTTTTCTATCGTTCGCTTCGCCAATACTCTTACGTATTCGGATGGAAGTGCTGCTTAAGGAGCAACATTTGTTTCTTTCTACGAAGCACTCTCCTCCTAATTCTCGCGAAATCCTTCGTAATGCAGAAGCAAGGGTATCCTATAAATTTTTGCCGTGACCGGAGATGCAAGTTACGGAAGTTGTCTACAAGTTTAACGTTCGCAACGTAAGTTCCCGTTTACGGAACTACATGTAGCAGTTATGCGCACATTTATACTGGCATAAGTGCACATATGCGTTACTGTTTTTTTTTCTTAACTTTGAATTGAGTTTCATGTAAACGGGAATGTATGAAGTAAGTTGCAGGAACGGATACTGGATATTATCTTTTTTCCTGAATTATCTAAAAATTTTGCTAAATACAAAGATTAAGAATAATTCTATTAGTCTATATCAAAATAATGATATATTTCAGTAATCAATTTGGGAGTCTTAATTATACATATATATAT